ATAGCGTCTATCAAAAATTTAGCTTTATATGTTACACAGGATATCCCTGATCATCTTTTATTTTCACAGGATAAGGTCCAATCAAAAAAATGTTCAGACAATAGTTTTACAGTTTAAAAAGATCTTTTCATTAGTCTTATCAGTTTGACTCTGGATGGCATCGCCAAGATCAGGTCAAGATCATATCGATTTTTTAAAATGGAAACCTTTATTCTTATTGCATATTCTTGTAACTTATCTTGACAGCTTTTCAAAACTATAATAAAATATTTATTCATTAAGTACTTTTCGAGTTATAAGGCTTGGAAATTACAGTATCGTTAGCATTAGCATTATCTAAGGTATTCGATTGATAGTCGAAACTTTTTAAATATTTTTCAGGATTATGATCTTGACACCACATATAAGATCAAGGCTTTTGGAGATTATTCCTTTTATTTTCATTTTTATTATAAAAATTAAAGTAAAAGGTCTCCAAAGGCCTTAATTTTGATATAAGATGTCAAGATCATGACCCTTTTAATTACATTTAAAAGATTTTATCAATTAAAACAGATTAGATAATTCAGTATAACTTTCAAGTCTTATAACTTAAAAAGTACTTCATAAAAAAATATTTTGTTATAGTATTCTGAAAAACTCTCGAGATAAACTAAAATATGTAAATAAGAATGTGTAACAAAAAATGGGGTTTACGTTTAAAGAAATCGATATAACCTTGATCTAAGTTTAGCAACGTCACTCAAAGTTAAACTGATAAGACGAGAATAGAGCTTTTTAAACTGTAAAATTATTATCCGAACATATTTTTAAATGGATTATTATCCGAACATATTTTTATTCTATGAAGATAAAAGAGGTTTGGAATATCCTGCATATATACATATATATAAAATATATTTCTATAAAATTTTTCTCTCAGTTACGTCAAATCATTGATTGACATGTGCGATGTTCCGTTGAAGAACATTACATTTATGGGCCATAGTCTCGGCGCACATGTAAGTGGCTTCGCCGCGAAGGATCTCCAGAAATCAGGTTACGGCAAAATTCCGCTTCTTATCACTACCGATCCCGCATATCCCTTATTTATGTTTAGTAATTGCGAGGGCAGACTTTGCAAGAAGGATGCGGAACGTGTAGTAGTTCTTCATACGTCGGCTGCTGGAATACAAAAGTCTATAGGTCATCTCGATTTATGGTTCAATAATGGATTAAGCCAACCAGCATGTGGTGGTAATTATTATATTTAACTTAAAAATAAATTAATCGGGGTAAACGTTATAAAAACAACAGAAAAAAATTATAAATGAAATAAATTTTTGTTTCAGGTTGGTTCTTCGGTATTATAAACCTCAATTGCTCGCATAATATAGCCATCGCGTATTTATGTAATACATTGTTTCATGGTTGTAAATATACGGGCGTTGGTATTTCTATATCGTAAGTTCGCTTTTTTTTATTAACAACATGTTTAAACTTAGATCAATCTAATTTTTGTAAATTTTTTAGGTTTGAAAACTTTATCGTATCAAATTAAACATTTTTATTAAATGAAAATACAATGAATACATTAATTGTTATAACCATATGTACATTATTTATTTTTATTTTTTTCAGACCCAGAACAATCCCGTTTCTCAAGTATGTATAAATAAAAAAATTTTTTTTTATTCTTGTTTCTTATCTTGCGTTTATTACATTTTTTTATCATAACTGGCATTCTTGCAGTATTCTGCCCGGTTGTTCTTCCGACGAAACTGATTGTATTACCGTGGATCATAGGATATTCGACCGTAACTATGCCATAGAAGGAGACTACTGTGTTTCTGTTATATCAGAATTTCCCTACTGTACAAAGAATCTTTCTGTCTATCAAAAATAAGTTAAGGCGAATTCGACACTTTAATTTAATTATAATGGAAATGAAGTTCTACAATTGTCACTTTCATAATAAGAGTGATAATAGACAGAGTCACGTAATTAATAAATATAATTAAATTTAATTTCATGACTTTATTTAGTATAGATTTTTATTGTTAAAATTTTTAAATTGTTATTAATGAAAAGAAATTAAGCACTGCAATGTATAAAGTTTAATAGAAGAATTGATGGAAATCGATTAAAAATGGAAATCGAAAAAGATAAAAAGGATGTTAGATTGTATCGTATATTTCTCGATTTTCTTCTTGAATTAAAATAATTAAATTATATAATAATATTTTACTTTTACTTTGTTTTTTTTTGTATATATTGTATATATTGTATATACTTTTAATATCACATTTAGTATTATATTTTAATATTATCAGTATTATTCAGTCTTTCATAATTTAAATATCTAATTAATTTAATTTTTTAGTATTTTATAGTATATTAATATCTTATCTGCGCTATAATATCTTATATACTGCGAATAATCTGCATGAATAATTCCATAGTAATCTACATATATTTCATAAGTGTGTATGCTATATGAAAAAATTCGTCTTTATACGTTTTAACCCCTCAGGCCTTACATACATTTTAATGTATTAGGTGTTGGAATTAATTCGTAGCGTTTT